GTAACGGGGCAGGGATGGATGTAGGGCAGTGTGACGGAGCTGAGGCTGATACAGGGTAATGTGACGGAGTAGGGGCGGATGCAGAGCGGTATGACGGGGCAGGAACATATGCAGGGCAATGCGACGCAGCAGGGGCGGAAGCAGTATAATGTGGCGGGTGGGCGCGTGAGACCGTCCCATTTTTAGTGGACTGAACTCTTCACGTCATTACTCGACATTCATGATCATTGGGTTAATGACATGGAATGAATAAATATGGGATTCATATATTATGTTGAGTAATACATTAATGAAGTTATGAGGTATATCATTAACTTTTAAATATGGAAGCATATGTAATGAATTGATATGAATAATGATAAACAGGTGGTAACATATACAACTTTCGTATCAAGTGGATAAACCATGGCTCGCCATGTCCCATGTCCACCCACATATCCACATGCCTACAGCTTACCAGTGTCCCCCGTTCCGGTTTCTGTGTAACGCTGACACCACGTCGTTATAGCGCTTAACGGAGTAGCCACAACAGCAGCATGATCTCGCTCTCAATGGTGGTCATCTCTCATAATCTCTGTGCTTTGTGCTCGTGGTCCCGTGCACGTCCCTGGTCTTCGAGCCGATGGGGTGATCTTGACACTCCTGACCTGCTGCGGCGTCGCCCCGTAGCCTGTTGTGCCACCCAACCATGGTTACGTCGCTAAAAACTCTTCCGGGGGTCTGATTAGTTCTCCACACATCCGTGTTTATGATTGGTTTTACGCATGTCACGTGGTCGGCCTCGTTCTCACTCTGCAAGGGCGCACGACAGACCCTGGGAAGCGCAGCTCCTGCCACCTCGTCCTGTAGGCACGTGGCGCCACTCATGTGCATGCTAAAACGTGTCCTATAGGCAGGTAGCGCCGCTCATGTGCGCACTAGCGTATGCCCTATAGGCACGTGGCGCCGCTCATGTGCATACTAAAACGTGTCCTATAGGCAAGTAGCGCCGCTCATGTGCGCACTAGGGCATGTCCCATAGGCATGTGGCGGTGCTCATGTGTGCATTAGGGCATATCCTATAATCATTTGGCGGCGCTCATGTGCGCACTATGGCTCGCCGATGAAAAATGTGGCGTGAAAGAGTGTCTGGAGTAGCGAAAAGGCTAATGCATAACCATGGAAAATACAGACTATGAAAATACGGCGGACGAACATAGTTACATTCTCCAGGG